AGGAGGGAAAGAGGGAGGGAAGGCAGGAAGGAGGGAGCGGGTCGGGGGGGAGGCTCCGCCGGCGCCGCTTACCTTATCGCCGAGGGGGGCGGCGGCGCGGAGGAGGAGGAGGAGGAGGATGAGGAGGATGCGGGGAGCGGCGGCCATGCCGCGCTGCTGCTGCCGCTGCCGCGGAGGAGGAGGCGGCTCGGCGGCCCACCAGCGGCGGCGGCGGGCGCGGCGGGGCCCGGGGAGCGCGGCCCGGCATGGCTGGGGGAGTTAATGACTTTACAACCTGCCGGGTGGCGGGCGGCGACCCGCGGCGCGGCCGCTCGGCGGGGGAGGGAGGAGGGATGCGGATGGAGGGATGGGGCTGGGATGGGACGGGGGCCGGGCGCTCCTCGGGCCCCGCCGCGCCCCGCCTGCCCCTCGCACCGCCCTGCTGCCGCCGCTCCCCGAGCTCCGAGGGCTCCCGCTCTCCCTCCTGCCGAGCCCCCGCTGCGGCCCCGGCACCGAGGGGTCCCTGCGGAGCCACCCGCCCTCCGGAGCGGAGCACTCCGCTCTTTGCCTCCCGCACAAAACCCCGTTTGCCACCCGATTCCTCCTTCCTGCCGTCTTTGGGCGAGCTCTGCTTCTCCAGGCATCCCTCTGCCCGTGCTGGAGCAGCCTGTGTTCCACGCTGGGACAGAGTGCAGCATCACCTGGGACACGGGGAGCTGCTCTTGACGGGGTGGTGGGTGAATTACAGAATAGTTTGGTTTGGAAGGGACCTTAAAGCTCATCTCATTCCAACCTCCTGCCATGGGCAGGGACACCTTCCACTATCCCAGGTAGCTCAGAGTCTCATCCAACCTGGCCTTGAACACTTCCAGGAATGGGGCAGCCACAGCTTCTCTGGGCAACCTGTGCCAGGGCCTCACCACCCTCACAGGGAGGATTTTCTTCCTAATATCAAATCTAACACTGCCTTCTGTCAATGGAAAGCCATTCCCCCTTGTCCTTGTCTGAAGTCCCTCCCCAGGTTGCTTGCAGCCCCTTTGGGCACTGGAAGGGGCTCTAAGGTCTTTCTGGAGTCTTCTCCAGGCTGAACAACCCCAACTCTCAGCCTGTCTCCAGAGCAGAGGTGCTCCACCCCTTAGAGCATCTCTGTGGCCTCCTCTGTTGGACTCACTTCAACAGGTTCTCCTATGTTGGAGGCCACAGCACTGGGCATAGAACTCCAGGTGGGATCTCACCAGAGCTGAGTACGGGGGAGAATCATGCTGCATACAACTTGAGAGGAATGAATTTGCTTGCTGGTACTTTCTTTGCCCCTTTCTGGATCACCCCTTGCTGTGGTTGTGATCACGAGGCAGCTCCTGGCAAGGTGCTGCCAGTCTCCATGCTGGCACACCTCAGCCATCCCGGGAGTTGGCTACTGTGATCCATGGACACAGGCTGTGCAGAAATGGCATCAGGTGTCCCCAGCCTGGGGCGGGCAGCTGGGGAGCAGCGGTTTCTGCCTGCCAGATGTTCTGTAATTAGTGTGGGGAGGTGATTCCAGCACTCAGCACTGCTCCCTCATCAAGGGTTTCAGCCTCAAGGTGGAGGGAGGGGAGAGGAATGATGGAGTGTCAGCAGGGGGGACCGGCCGGGGACTCCTGATCAAAGCTGTTTGCTGGCAGGCAGGGGGCAGGGGAGGAGGGGGTGATCTGCTTCTGACCCAGGCAGAGAAAATGAGGGTGAGAAGCGCTGACAAAACACATGGTTGCACCATGAGCTGCCTTCTACAAAGGCAGGGAGGGGGAAAAAGCTTCAGAGTCAATTCCTGGCTTTCCTGCCCTGCTGCAGCCCTGTGTAATGTTCCTCTGGAGGCAGCTCCTGCCCTGCAGATAAGCAAAGTTGTGGAGAGACACACGGAGGTGGGGGAGAGGCTGTGACTAAGAAGAAAAGGGGGACTGGCTGGCTCCAGCTGGGTGAGTTTCAGTGCATCTGATCTTCTTCAGCCTCTCCCAAAACCAGTGTCAGAGCAGGAGCCCTGGCAGGCAGAAGCAGGCTATGGAGTGCAGCTCAGTACAGAGGTGATTTGGAGAGAGGGATCTGCATGCTCTAAGGGAGCATGGCAGGGCAAATCCAGGTGGCCTGTGATTCTCTCCCCTCCAGGCCCCTCTGTGCCCCCTCTCTCCTGACCCTTCTTGCTAGTCCTGCTTTCATCCCCTTTCATCACTCCTGAGCCTCTTGTGCTCACAAGGAGTGATACAAGCGCAGTGTGGAAGGCAAGAAGACAGTGTTAAATGCTGCTTCTCATTTCACATCCTGAATTTAAACAGTGCTGTTATTTCTCGAGGTGCAGTGGAGGTTTTGAATGCTCTCAGTCAATGTGGGATCAAGGGCATGGGAGATAAATGTTCCCTTGTAGTCTTGAGACACCTCCCACGGTAAACAGTGTATGGGAAGGTTTGATAGTGTTACTTAACTGATTAATTAATTTTAAACCTTGCTAACAAAGCCACCACAAGTTAATTCCAGTCTTGTAATCATTTCCAATCCACCTCTCCCAGTTTGTATTTTTTTTCCTACTGTCTTTATTCAGACCATAAAGTAAAGCTGCCACTTTCTAACTGGGCCAGTTGGTTCTGATGTGGGACACATTACATGTGAGCTTGGCAGCCCTTTGTGGTTTTGCATTCAGCCCTACCATTACCAGGGGCTTTTCCCCAGTTGCTTCCCCGTTTCATAAGCAGGTCTGTATTACCACCAGACAATGTTTAAAGGATTCACGAGGTTGAGCAGAGCCACCTGGTTTCATCCCAAGAGTCTCTCTATAGCCAGTGTTTTTCACTGTCTGTGCCAGCCACCTTCAGACACATGGGCTGCTTGCAGGGGACTGATTCGTACTCATTCCCTACCTCCCTGGAAGTTGCCTGGGATTATTTCATCCTCTTGCTTCATTGAATTTGGTTCCATCCGCCAGCCGTTTCTCCAAAAACCTTCCAAACGTAGTCAGGAAGGGAATTAAAGTGTACTGCCTTTGGAAAGGAGAGGATCCTCAGCTCTAGAGTGCCCTCATGAGGGATCTGCAGAGCCTCTCCTCAGCCTGAGCGTAACTGCACAGTCCGGCCACAGCGGGGAGAGCCCAGTGGGATGCCTACCGTGACTTTCCCCCCTCCCTGTGTGGGGAACGCACTTGCAAGCTGAATTCTTCGAGCCTTTTCATCGCAGGCTCTCAGATCCACATCCCACAGGCTGAGGCCAATCTCTTTTGTGGGTTTCATTGTGCGGCTGCCCCCCCCCCCCCGCAGAGTCGAAGGTGGGAGATGAACATAGATTTGAGCTCCCATTATCTGCAAACCTCTCTTACAATGGAGGCTTTGTTGGCCTCAGAGTGACCCCCGAGGGAGCAGCCCTGTGGCAGCGGAGCCTGAGCACGGGGCTGCAGGAGGGCTCATGGGGTTAAAGCTCGACAGGAGAGACGTGGCTGAGCTGGGTTCATTCCTTCTCTCTGCATCCTGCCTTCTGCCAGCTTCAGCCCGTGCTGGTGCAAAGGGGTGAGAAGAGATGTGACACCATATGCCTGTCAAAGGGCAGGGTTGGGGATGACAAGGTAATGTCACCTCGCAGGGTCACATGGATAATCAGCGCTGAGCGGTCCAGACTGGCCTTCCAAACTGGTTTTGCCCCTCAGTTGAGCTACTGTGTTATCTTCAAGGTGGTTTTTAAGGTTGTCGAGCACTTTGTGGCAGCATATGCTTCCCTGTAGAACTGCTGCTGCAGATTGGGACTAGAAAAAAGGGAGGGAGTTGAGGGGGAATGATGCATTGTTTAATAGGACAATTAAAAAAAAAACAACCAGGATTTTTTTTTTTAATTTCGGGGGTTTTGGTACATAAAGACTTGAAAATGAATTTTGTTTTATAATTGACATAACAGTAGGCAACTGATAAGCCCCAGCCAAACCTGCAGCCTTGCTGTGCTTGGGTGATGTGTGTGTGAGCAGGGATAGGTGCTCCCAGAGAGATTACCAGCTGTGGGGTGACGGATTGGTGCCTGGGAGGAATAATTTACCTGCGATGCTGCAGAGCTGGGCGGTGTCCTGCTCCATCCTGGCCTCGTGCTGACCTGTCACAGCCGTCAGAGAACTGATGGGAAGGGGAAACTTTAGTTGATCTGCTCTTGGCTGTGACACCTCTGTGTCACCTGCTGGTCTCCCCTGCCAGGGGCTCTGCAGCTGCTGTGCCTGTGCCCCAGGGAAGCATGTGCTGGAGCACAGGGCTTGGTAGAAACCTTGCTGGGGGTCGTACTGTCCCCTCTGAAGAGACCCCAGGACCAGCCCCAGTGCTATCCAGTGGTGATACTGGATTTTCATCTGAATCTTTGGCCTAGGACCAATTCTTGTCCTCTGGTATCAGACAACAGGAGATGAGTGATGTTTACCTCTGGCAATCGATCACATAAACATCTATGTGAAAGCAGATACCAATGTGATGAGTATTTAGGTTGTCAGGGCCTGGACAGAGACTGAAGAATATCCAGAATAACAGGGTAAATCCTCTTTTTTTTCCTTTTTTTCCCCCCCCAGCCCTCTCTCTGTTTAGGCCAGAGCTCAGCAAAGTATTTCACCACAAAAGTAAAACTTAGTGTGTGCTGAGGTTGTGAGACATCAAGTGGAATCGATCTGTTCAAATGAGAAATTTTTGCTTTCTGTATTTCTAAAACATTTCAGTTGTCGGTGGATTTCAGTTTCATTATCATCCCTGAGTATTATGCAAACCCCCAGTGTGTTTCAGCCTGGGTTGAATTCAGCAACTCTTTACGGGTTTGTTTTTAATTTTGGCTTAGTTGGAAAAGCTGTAAATATTTTTCCCAAACAACTGAGAAAAATGTTGTTTGGAGTTTTTCCAGGAGCAACAAATATTCACTTTGTTTGCACAACTACAGCCCTGACCTAAATAGAACTTTGTCCAATATGAGGATCTCTTTTGCTTAATGAAAATAGCTAGGAAAAAAGAACGGAATAAGATAAGACTCCAGTCTCACTTGGCTGGTTTCTTTCACAATCTCATCATTTATTTTTAAATAGAAGTCCTGTTTCAGAAGCAAGTAGATATTCTGTCTTTCAAAGGTCATAAAAATATTTCTGTATTGGAAGAGCTCAGGTGGGTGACATGGTGATGTGCCCAGGCAGTGTGGAGCTGCCTTTGCCTACCTTGGCTAGGCATTGCAAACACAGTAGGTGAAACTGAGATAATGTTAAAATAGAGATTTCCATCAAAATATCGGCAGACCATGATTAATGCTTTGCTGGTTCTTACATCAACACCCACACTGAACCGTGCAGAGCAGGATACAGTGTTTTCTGTTACCAAAGTAGTGTATAGCAATAGAAAGGAGGGAGGGGAGGAAGCAACCTGTGTGCTGTACAAAACCATGCCCTGGGCTGCCCTGCTGATGTTGGGCTCCAGCAGGCAGCTCTCACATCTAGCCCAGTGTTTGTCACGGTTAAAACCCCCATGGTCTTGTCTTCATGTCTCCACCCAACCAAAAAGTCTGTTCTTTGGTCAGAACAAATAACCCTCCCTTTTCCTTTGTTTTGTCCCCTCCTTCAAGTTAATGGCCACAAATCTCCTGAGACAGGTCAAGGCACACAGCAGGGGGAAAGAAGAGACAGGCTGTGGTTTTAGGGCACAGGGCTGTGCCTCAGCCCAGCCTTTGGTGGGGCAGATCAGCAAGGCACTGTTGGCAGGAGACCCATCCGAGGCCAAGGTCCAGTTGCTGTAAGGGGCACTCAGAGGTGCAGCTTCCGAGAAACACCATCGTGTCCTCGATTTGTTCTCGTTCAGATACAGAGCCTGGCTCTGCAAGGCCTCAGTCTCTGCTGCACTATGGAAACGAGCCATGATCTGCTACAGCTGCTCCTGCTCCACAGGCACGTGGGGCTGACACTGGGGCTGCCTGCTGGGTTATTATAAATGCTGTAACCAGCACCTATCCCCCAGGTGTTCCCTGAGTTGACTGCTCTGCCCCACAGTGTCTCTAGGACTTCTATGCAGAAGAGGAGGCACAGTAAGAAACCAACCTGCTTTGTTAAGAATTTGTAGTGTTAATGGCAGAGATTTTCTCTTTACCAGCTCCCCTCCTAGTTGCTTTACCGTATTCCAGAGCTCCATCTGCCTGGCAGGGAGGCAAATGTAACCTTGGAGGGCAAGGACCTGGTGTGCTACGTTACATGGTTTGAAATATCAACATTAACATCTACGTTCATTAAGAAAAGTCACCTGGGAAGAGGCTGGCAGAGGCTTCCAGCCCTGCACACAGATCAGAGATCTGTCTGAACAGCAATCTGTCCTGTAGGACCAAAGCTGATGCACCAGCCCAAGGAGAGAGTCACAAACTTTGTGTGGCAAAGGGATCAAGTGGACTTCTTTTAAAAAAGAGGTAGCATTAAGTTGCACTGTATTTCTTATTCTTTTACCTGTGTAATCCCTTGAGGCTTCACACAATCTGAGCAACAGCAAAATGTTTCATTGCTCTCTGGTTTTGGAGCTTGTTCTCTGGCATATGGGATCCCCTCTGTCAGTGCAGTGTTTAAGTGCTGAAAACATGACATTTCTTGTGGTTGATGTTTAGGGAATCTCTGAATTGCAGGATGGTTGGAACATCCTATATTCAGGATCTGGGCTTTGCTAGGTGTCAGTCAGGGTGTGCAAGTGGGACTCTGTTGGGGCTGACTGGTCAAACCCTTGACTAGCAAACTGGTTTTCTTTTTGAAGCATGCCTTCAAAATGTTGGGCTTTGGGGAATTTGACCTGTCTGTGTTCCAGCAGCTCTCTGCAAAGATAGAGGAACCTTCTGGATAAGTGTATGGTGAGACTGATGTATATGACACTGGCAAGCTGAGGGGCAAGGAGAGATGAAAGAGCTACTGAATTGCAGTATCTTTCTGTCCATTGTGGTGTACATTATTCATGTATTTCCTGATAGAAAACACTACCTGCAAAGTCCTGTTTTTCCCTCCTGCCTCTCCACACGCTGATGTTCCCCTGTGCAACTAGCAGTCTAAAATACTCACTCTTCCCACCTGCCAGAAGGAAGTGTGTGATCTATCACCTCCAAGCATCAGCTGCCCAAATGACCTGGATCAACTTGTACCTGTCAAACTCTTCCCAGGATGACACGAGAAACAACATGAAGAGAAATAACACTGGTTGTGCCTCTGCCTGCACCAGAGCCAGCCAGGGCCCTCCTTCCAACCCTCCCCAGGGCTCTGGCTGCCTTTGTGCCTAGGGTTTGGCGTGGGCATGGCAGCCCCCCTTCTCAATGCTCTGCTCCGGGTGGATGGGTAGGACCAGGTGGGCGATGCGGCTCCACAGCCCACTCAGCTTGTCGGAGTCCATGTGGTCGTAGGAACCAGGGGTCCTGGTGGTGATGAACTTGTCCCAGAGGAAGTCATGGACCCTCTCTTCCAGCTGCGGGAGGCTGATGTGGGTCTCCAGCACCTCCTCCTCCAGCAGCACCGTCAGCAGCAGGGCCACGTCCTTGAAGGCCGCGCTCTCGTGGTCGCAGTACTTGTAGAAGATGAGGGTGGCCCCCGCCGGCAGCAGCTCGAAGCGGTGAATCACCGCGGCACGGCCCCCGGCGTCGAACGCCGAGCTCAGCTCCTTGTCCACCTCCAGCTTGGCCCGGTCACTCTGGAGCCTGGATTTATCCCTGCCATCGATCTGCACCGTGCTGGCATGCAGGGCAGCCGAGTAGGAGTCGGCCACGTGGGTGCTGAGGCATCGCAAGGTCTGCTCGCCCGTGCGGGCGGCCGTCAGGATGATGATGGCCGGCTGCGTGTGGTGGGATGAGTTCAGGTGCTTCTTCAGGACCTTGCTCCCACGACTCCAAAGGTAAGGGCTCTGCCCTGGAAACCTCTTCTCCAGCTGGTTGAACTGGAAAAGGAATGCCTCTGTGGCGCTCTTGAGGGTTTGCTGGGAACTGGAGGTCGGGTTGCCGAAGCAGAATATGCAGAAGCCGAGCAATATGAGGCCCATGATGCCAAGCCCTGTTCAACAGGGGAGAGACACAGGATTGGGAACAGAAGTCAGTCACAAGTGACCTGCAGTGACATGCTGGAAAGTAGCTATGATGGCTCTTTTTCCCCTCTAAGACCTGCCCCCCTGCTCTGGGGAAGTGGATCAGATTGGCCAGGAGTGGTGAAGGGGCTGTTGTGAGACCCATGCTCCTACACACCAGGCGAGGGGGCTGCAGCTCCAGGGATGGAATCAAGGCTACAGCTTTGTGCAGAATTTCCTGAGGAAATTGCAGCTGGCCACAAGCTTCCTTCTCCTTCCCCCTCCTCTGTTTTCTTTAAGGTTTGTGGCCATTCAGAACACCACACATGGAGGTGTCTGACCCAGCTAAAGTGCTGTGACCACTGCCCCCCTCTGAGCCTTGCGGGGTGAACAAAGGCCATCATGGTTCTGCTCAGAAAACAGAGGACAGCAAGGTCCAGATAACAGTTTGTGTCCTTCTCCATGCCAAAGCAGGGTCTCTTTTTAACAGGAGGCATATGTGGTGCAATGAGGATCACAATTCCTGCTTAGAGCCCTGTGACACAGGGCAGGACTGGGGGACCATTGGTGGAGGAACCCCAGACCTCCCAGAACATCCCAGGGCACTCCCAGTACCCTGAACATGATATGCCTTCTTCTGAGGCTGGAGAGTTGGAGGGAAAGCTGCTGAAACTGGGCCTGTATTTAAGAGGATGGTTTTTCCCTCAAACCCTCAGAAAAGGCTTTGAAAGGTCCCAAGAGAGAAAAAGAATTAAATGTGCTTCATTACTTGTTCCTGGAGGATCAGTGCCTTCTGGTCGGTGAGTAACATGCAAGGGAAGCTTCTTTTCCTCACCTTTCAGCACGAGGGACTTCTTGGGCTTCTCCTGGTCTGTGTTTTGGGTGGTGACGTTCTGCAGGCAGGACTGAGCCTCTGGGTTTGGGGCTGTGTGCCCTGCAGTAAGAGAAAGAAATGTGACACTCACTGTTGAGGGAACAGGTAAAATGAGCTGTAGTAAGAAAAGCAAATGCTGCTGGAAGCAACCAGCTGAGGGAAGAGTTAGAAGTGAATATTGCTTTGGGTTAATACTGCTCTTAGTCTTGGCTCTTTGTTTTTGGGGCTGGGCAAGGAGAAAGACAGTGCAGAGTGCAGTGTGGTTTCATGCCTTTCAAAGAAAGAAAAGGAGGAGTGAAAGGAGAGAGAAACAGAGAAGCCAGTTAATTTCTTATACCTTCTTTCCTGCTTCACTCTGGAAAACTGACAATGGGCAGTAGGGATCTCACCATACCATGGCTCTAATGCCCATGGGAAGTGCAGGCATGTGCACAGTGGAGGAGCAGCAGTGTGCAGCCACCAGCTCACCTTTGGTCCCATGTCTTTTCCTTAATGTGCCTTGGGATCCGATCTCCCGTGTTTCTTGCTCTATGTGCTCCTCTGGCTCCTGCACTGGGAGAGAGGCACTGGTGCTCCTCTCTGCCAAGAGGTCCTTAGTGACATCTTCCGTGGCAGTCACATCCAAATGTGTCACTTTACTGTCAGAGCTCAGTGACTTGCTTGCTGATAAAGCATCTTCCTCTGCTTTGTAGCAGCTTCCACACTGACTGGTTGTCTCCTGGTTCTCCCGTGTTTCCTGGTGGACAGGGCTGTCTCCTTTGCTGTCCATTTTACCAGGGGCCAGACCAGCTGTGGGGAATAAAATTTGCAGACCTCCATTTAGTTTCTTTCAGCCCAAAACCAACAACTCTTTTTCCTGCTCTGCCTCCTCTAAGCAAAGGCCAAGGTTATCAGCATTTTGGAAATGCTGTACACAGGGATGGGGAGAGACTCACCTTCATCCAAGTCCTTTTCTTCCCGGGATCTCTCTGAGGCACCATCTCTTGTCTTCCCAGGTTCTTCCAGCAATATTTCAGTTTCCTGGGGAGCCTTCTCCTCCAGTGTGGGGCCAGCTAAACCCAGCAGTGTTGTCTCTCCTCCACCAGCAGTTGGTTCATGCACTGCAGAGTCCTGCTCTGGTTTGCAGGTCTCAGACCTGCTTGTCACTGGCTGCTCGAGTGTTTCCTGGGTGGGCTCTTGGTGCACAGGATGCTCTGCTGTGCTTCCCACCTCACCTTGGGCTGGCTCAGCTGTTGGGATCAGAGTTCACAAGCCCAGTGAGCCACACAGGAATCAGGAATGCCCAGTGCTTTACCACCAACCTTAAAACTCCCAGCTCTTGCACTGCAGAAACATCTACTCCCAGTGAGACGGGGCAGAGAGTAGTGACTAGGAGTGAGAAAACTCATGGATTGAGATCCAAACAGCTGAATGAGTGAAGGGAAGGGTGAGGAATCAGGACAGATTGACAGACAAGCACTCACCACCTCCTACAATGATGCCAGGACAGTCTCCCAGCAATGGCCACCTTGGAAGCCATCCCCTTTTCTCCCTTTCTTCCTGTGCCTCAGTTTTTGCTGCTGAGCGTGATGCTACACTGTACTCAACAACCCTTTGCCCACCTTGGGTCCCTGCCCAATAAACCCACCCCAGGTTATTTGCTTGGCAAGGGAAGGGTGGGGGGGAAGAGAAAACCTTGATGCTGTGCCAGCACTTTCCAGTAATAGCCAAAACACTGCTGTGTTATCAACATTTTCTTCTGTAAACCCACAAATCCAAACCACAGCACTGTACAGGCTGCTGTGTTAAAGTTAACTCAATCCCAGCCTGCGTCCTCAGTGGGGTGGGCAGGCAATTCCTTCATTAAGTGGTGGGATATGTTACCACATCTTCCACAGATAAGGGATTTTCACAGATAGCGGTGGATTTGAAGAATTTCTAAGGCTGATGTTGAGTGCAGTTATGCCAATGCACTTCAAGCATCTGTCTGAATGTAAATGATAATTCTGCTTGTGCTCTGTCTCTGCTCCTGTCCTGGAGCTCTCCTTAAGAGCTATGACAACATATAATTAAAAGCAAACACTGGAGCATAATTCAATAGAGAAATTCTGAAGCTGAACACGAGCATTTGTGACATATTCTAGATCTTAAAGAACCAAACAGTGCAGCTGAAATTTCAGCTGCTATTTGTGAAAAATTGCTTACGAATGATCAAGCATTATAATAACAGAAAGTGATTATGCTGCAATTAGAATAAAGACTGATAAAAATGGCAAGGAACTTCCTGCACTTGGCATGCGTCAGAATACAGTTTTTACATTCTTTGTTGCTGATTATTACAGGAACACCTCTGAGTGCCTAGGACAGACCTGAGCTGGTGATGGCATCACGGTATCACTGACATACTGGTATGTATATTGTCATAACAAAGCTCCTGGAGAATGTAACTACACAGCAGAAAGTGAAACATGAGGAACCTGGAGATATCCTGCTATTCAAGCTGGACACAAACTACTCCTTGCCCTGCATCCTCCAGAGGTTTCTCATCTATAGGTGGTGGAAAACTGGCTTATTATTTAGGCATCTGTAGATGGGAAGCACTGGGGTTCATGGAAGAAAGCTCTCCCAGCCTGGATCTTTAGACTTCCTTGTGCTGCCATCCTGGACACAGAGTCTAAACCTGTTGCAGATGGGAGTCTAAAACTGAAAGTAACTTGTTCATCTTTCACCCTATAAAAAAATATAGCAACTTGCTTTTCTTGGCCTGGAAAAGACAGGATTACTTTATTTTTATTTTTGCTTCAGTTTCCCATGTCACTGTTAAATACTTCTTGCAAAGGAATTTTCCTTTGCAAGGAAAAAGTAGATGGAGTAAGCATAGGGATTCCCTTACCTCCAGACAGATCCTCTCTTGGATTCTCTTCCATTTTCTGTTTCCCCTGGAGCTGTGGCTTCTGCACTGTTTCGTTTCACTTTCTCCTTCGGTCATACGGAGCTGTTTCTCTCCGCTGTTCGAGTGGCTGACCAAGTCCTACCCCCCTCACAGACACCATCCCGTCCTGCTCTCGGGAATTCCAACTAAACGCCCATAAACCTGATAAGCAGAAACACAGGAGCGGTGATTCACTGTGGAGGAAGAGGCTCCTCCCTCCATGATTCCCAAGGTGAAAAAGGGTGGGTGTCACCCATAAGCAGGAACTTTCAGCTCAGGGGCTGTCAGCTATTTTGCTTCCCATCAAGCTACAAGTAATTCAGGGGTTAATGCAAACCGCGTTTGTCTCGGGACGCGCCAGTGGGGTGAGGCACCGGTTTCTCATCCAGATGGACTCGGAGATGGCAGGCCCGGAGTCTGGGGCTTGGCAGGGCACCTGGAATCTCACAGCCCGGTCCACACAGAGCAATGACCCTGCTGTACTTACCCTCCTGCCTCCAGCATGTTGTATCAGGAGACAGCGGTGCCGAAGGTGAGGCCGCTGGCACAAACACCCCGCGGCCTCAGCAGAGCCCTGCCCGAGTGTTGCGAGCCCAGAGCCACAGCCTGGCTCTCCTGCACCCCTTCAGAGACCCTTCCCACCCTGCTAAAGCGCTTTTTTGGGACAGGACCGAGGCGAGCTCGCTGGCGTAACCCGAGAAAGTTGGTGGCTTTCAGAAGCGCAACCGGGCGGCATGGAAAACTCCCGAAGAACTTTCCCCGCGGTTCGCGCGGACTTCTGTACAAAAATCCCGCCCCAGGAGCCTCCTCAGCAGCTCTTCCAGCACAGGGGGGCACCTCATCCCCCCTGCACTGCCCCTGCAGCGGAGTTTTCTCGCTTAGAGAGGCGATTTGGGGTGGGGGTGGGGTACAATCGCTGTTCTGCCGCCCGGCTCTCGTCCCTGCCCTCCCTGCGCTGTTCCCGCTGGTGACGCTCCGGCAGGAGAAGGAAGTCAGGGAAACAGTGTCCTGTGGAGTCGGACGCTTACCCGGGCAGGCTCGGAGCCGGTCCGGGCGGTGAAGAAAAGCAGAGTTGGCTTTTCCGCTTGCCCTTCCCAGAGGCCCTTTGGCTCCGGTGCTGGCAGGACACCAACACACCCCCTGAAGCCTCCGCTGGAAACGTGACGGTGAACTCTGCCCTTCCCCGGCTCCCGGCAGCCTGCTGGGAGCTGTAGTTTTCCTTCCCACAGCCGTTCTCCGGAGCGTTCAGGAAACAATCGTTTCTCTTTTTTTTGTTTTTTGGTTTTTTTTTGGCTGTATTTCTACGACTCTGTGGTTGTGCCGTTTCCTCCAGTCACGCTGGATGAGCGGCAGCTTCCTGCGTTAGGTAACAGCGCTGTGGATCGAAACAAGGAAATGAGGGTGAGGAGAGAACCGGTTTGAGAGTTGATTTATGAAAAGTACCACAAGGAAAACAATGCAAAAACGTAGGTAGCAAAGCCCAGACTCTGGAAATGTCACACTGGGCCAGTGCAGGGAGGCTGGGGGCTCAAGAATATGAAATGGAGGATCTTTAGCATCAGCCTGGTGGGAAAAGGATGGGGAGCCCCCCCCAGCACCCCCTTCCAGTGTGGTCGAAAGACTGCAACTAGGGGGAAGGTCTGAGTGTGTGTTTATCTGCCCCTGGCCTCATTTCGGCAATGTTTTCCCGAAAAAAATTATGTTCTAAATTGAGGTGCTAGCGCAGGGGACAGGTAGGTTCCAACTCCTTCCCTATTTCCCCCTGCCCAGGACATATATCATGCAAAGCAGGAGCATGGAGCATGCCAGTGGCAAGGCATCAGCACAAGGAGCAGTAGCACAGAGATAGCAAACCCTCTCGAACTCAGCTTGCAGCCTTTTCACCAGCAACCCCAGAGGAGCCCAGCAGCAAATGGCTGAGACAAAACACAGGAAAGGGCAACTGAAACGGTGCTGGGAAGGAGCAGCCACTCAATGGCAGGCACTGAATAGCTGGGACCCCTCAATCTGGAGACCAGAGGGCTGAAGGGGAGGATGTGACTAATGTGTTTGGTTTGACTTCGTTTTAATTTGACTAAATCCTCCCCTTACTAGTACTTGTAGAACAGATTGGGTTCCAAAGGGCAGAAAAAAAATATGTCTTTGTGCTGTGTTTAAGAACCCTTACTGACACAGAGGCAGTGTCAGAGGGCTCAAAAAAACACGTGTGTCACGTGTCCCAGGGGTGTCAGCATGTGCACAGGTGTCAATACCAACGCTGGTCCTATCAGGAAGGTGATGAGGAGGTGAGGTGTCTGTGGGCAGACTCTGCACATCATGAACAACCTCTCATTGGGTGCAGCAGAGGCTGTAAAACCTGGGGAGTGGCAAAGCAGGAAGGACAAAAATCAGTGTGGCTGGTTCACAGAGGCCAAGGTCACCTAGAGGGCCCTGCTCCTGGCTGGCATCCATCTCACATCCTGCCTTCATCTGCTTCAGTAAGGAACAGCCAAGGAATGGCAGAGAGGTGTCAAGGGCTTCACAAAAATCAAGGTATTTTACATCCCTCTGTCCCTACAACCATCCAGTTCCTTCATCACCAGAGGCAGTCATGGCTGAGGGACCGCCCTTCCCACAGAAGCATGAAAACAGTGGCACCCGTGTGACAAAATCAGGGGGTCCCTTCAGTCTCTGGGGGTTGAGAACCTGCTCCCAAAAAGCTGTTTGGCAGGAAAATTAAGTGGTTGGGCTAAGGCATGAAGTCATCACAAAACTGTTACAAAAAAGGATCTTGATATTATGTTACATTGTGTTTTTTTTTTTCCTTTAGCAAAAAGAAAACAGGAATTCATGGGATGGGAGTGGATATACAGAATTGCAACCTAATAGATCTGGTCTTTTCTAAGTCAAGTTTGAGGGAGAATTTAATTTAAATTGGGATAATGTTTTCTCTCAATCTGTAGAAGAATCAATGGTGAGTAGGTGAAATATAAAGGACATGCTATGGAAATATTTACACAAGGTGATACTTTGGTAACTTTCTTTGGAAACTTGTGAATAAAGCAATACTGTAGGTGGAGTTCCCCTGGTCAGGAATCATGAGCTGATTGGTCTTTTTTCTACTTGATTTGAACTGCATGGCTGGCTCGGCTGTACTTTAAAACCTACTGATGTGGTATTTGTTACATCCTCTTTTATTTTTGCTTTAGAAAACATTGCTCAGTGTGTATGTTCTGCTTTTAGGTCTGAAAAGAATGACAGTATTTACTGCTGGTACAGTAGGAAGTACGCATAACTTATCTCACAAATACTCACTTCTTGGTAAAAATGGAACATTTATGGTGTCTTAGTAAAGCATTAAAATAGTTTTTATTTTTAAATTAATGTACAGAGAAGACAGTCACAGAAGGGAACAGTGAGTGGCACTTCCCTCACCCAGCTTCCTGCTGGAGTGCAAAGAACACACACACATCTACCAACACTTACAACCCTGCAAAACAAGTAACATCACAAGTGTGAGCACACATGTTCTGGAACATTGTAGATGAAGTTACTGCCATTACAGGGGTCAGTATCATCTTCCTCAATCCTGACTTTTTCAGTGTGTAGATATCCTTCAGTACCAGTACAGGTTGGGGGCTGACCTGCCAGAGAGCAGCTCTGCTGAGAAGGACCTGGGAGTATTGGTGGATGACAAGTTGTCCATAAGCTGGCAATGTGCCCTGGGGCCAGGAGGGCCAATGGGATCCCGGGGTGCACTGGGAAGAGTGTGGCCAGCAGGTCGAGGGAGGTGGTCCTGCCTCTCTGCTTGACCCTAGAGAAGCCACATCTGCAGTGCTGTGTCCAGTTCTGGGCTCCTCAGTACAAGAAAGGAGCTGCTGGAGAGGGTCCAATGGAGGCCACAAAGATGATTTGGAGTCTGCAGCACCTCTGTTATGAGGACAGACTGTGGGAGCTGGGCCTGTTTAGTCTGGAGAAGAAAAGACTGAGAGGAGATCTCATCAAAGCATGTAAATATCTCAAAGGCAGGTTCCAAGAGATGGTGCCAGACTGTTCAGTGGTGCCTGGGAACAGGATGAGGAACAGGATGTGTTTTAGTTTATGGCCATTACACAAGAAGCTCCACCTCAGTAGAAGGAAGAACTTTATGTTAAGGGTGGCAGAGCACTGGAACAGGCTGCCCAGGAAGGTGGTGGAACCTCCCTCTCTGGAGACATTCTAAACCCACCTGAATGCATTCCTATGTCAGCTGTTCCAGATGACCCTGCTTTGGTGGGGGGTTGGACTGGGTGATCTCCAGAGGTCCCTTCCACCCTAACAATTCTGGGATTCTGTGAATTTTTCAAAGGGCTCCTATTTGCTCAGCAACTCATTTCCAAACTGGTCCTGAACTGCTCGCTGCCCTGGTGAGCATTTGTGCAGAGGTTCAGAAAATGTGTATTTGTGAAATAAGAAAGTTGCTATTTCTTTGCTTAGTAACATCACAGAAACATAGGACAGCTCAGGTTGGAAGGAAGCTCAAAAGATGATCTGGTCCAAACTTCCATGGGAAAAGGAGTCTAGAGGAGATCATGTCCAATTGCATCTTGAAAACCTTCAGTCATAGGAACTCTACCACATCCCTGGGTAAAAATGGTTTATCAAGAATGCAATCAAATGGTTGGGCACTGGAACAGGCTCCCCAGGGCAGTGGTCAAGAGGTGTTTGGACAATGCTCTCAGGGGCAAGGTGGGATTACTGGGGTTGTCCTGTGCAGGGCCAGGAGCTGGACTTGATGATCCCTGTGGGTCCCTTCCAACTCAGCACATTCTGTGATTTTTAAAATCCCCGTTTACCAGTAACACATCTGAACAAAAGGGGAAAGTAAGTGAAATGCCTAGTGGGACATCCTGGATCCCATTAACCATAACGATCCCCACACCGGGCAGCAGACATTTAGTGCAGCGCGTTACCAGCTCCAGGGGATTTCATCTCCCTCGAAACCCCTCTCGGCACTTTTGAGTTCCCACTTGTGTCTATTTTACAGGGCTTTACGTCTCCGGAGAAGGCCCCGGCGGCCTGCTCGGCTCGCTCCGGTGCGACCAGCGGCACATGGAACGGACCGCGGCGGGAGCGAGGCCGCCCGAGCTCGCCCCGGGGGGGCCCCGCGGGGCCGGGGGGGGGGCCCGCGGCCGGCCCGCATTTTTTTCACTGGGGGGCGGCAGCGCGGGCCGGGCGCTCCCGGGGCTCCTCCCGCCAGTGCTGATCCCGATCCCGGTGCCGATCCCGGTGCCGATCCCGGTGTGTCCCGGTCGCTCCCGGGCCATGTCGGACCGGCCGCGGTACCACGTGACGCCGCGGCGGGCGCTCCGCGCGCGGGCGGAAGCGGAGGGGGCCGGTCCCGGTCCCGCCCCGCGGGAAGGGAGCCCCGCGGAGCCGCCCCCGCCGCCGCGGGAAGGCGGCAGCTGCGGCACCGGGCGGGGACGGGCGCGGGGACGGGGGCGAGGCCGGGGCAGGGGCCGGCGGCGCGGCTCGGCGGCGGGCGGG